AATAAACTTAAGATCTAGCAAGGTGTTCCCATGATCATATATCTTTGTAAAATTTGCAAAAACTACATATCTTTGCACTCTTTTCTTTAAGAGGGCTTCCAAAATTCTACAAGCTTCAGGCTCCAGAAAACCTGGATTGACCATCACAGCTTCTCAAAGAGGGGCTGGGAACTGCTAATAGCACAGGGAAACAGAATGCATCGGACAGCAATGCCCTCCTTGCAGCCTGGAGCCCTCGACACCAACAGGTTATGCTCTGAGCAAGTCAACAACTGCCATCCCTGCCTCAGGCATGGCTGATGCCTTCCTCTCCACGCCTGGACAGCAGTGCAGAGCTCCGCTCCTCTGCTCGTTCCTCCTCAAAGCTGCAAGGCACCTAGGAAGATCCTCCACCGTCCCTGCAAATGACTCAGACCCCTTTTCACTGTCCAGTGTTTGGGGTTTATCACTCCCAGGCCCTCCCACATGTGCCAATCCCATTTCGGCCCCAGCCTGCGGTCCCCCACTCCACCTGCAACTCAGAAACCATATACCTTACCCTAAACAACGAAGTGGCCATAAAAAGTGTTGATGCCTTATGTGCAAGCAGTGCTGTACAAACACTCTGTGATTTAATTTGAAATATCTGCTTCATGTAATTTGTAGATTTTAGCTATTGGACTAAGATCATTCACATAAATAGATTATAATTTACTGCTGTTTCTCCATTTTTTTATTACTGCATAATTAAAACCTGCTGTTAGCTAGCACTGTGGGGGAAATGTTGATGTTACACAGTATGCATTTAAATCGACTGCACAACCACCATCTATCTCTTCTTCCAGCAACCCAGCTTCTCTGTGCAGTAAGGTGAGTGCAATTCTCAGGTCACATTAGGTGCTGTGATCCATAGACTCTCAATAAACCAGTGCTCTGGTTCTCCAATTATCAGCCCTACAGTTGCGTTCAGTATAAAGGGCCTCAAAAACTGGGAACCTGTGGGCATAAGTGTGAGCAGGACATTTGTGGGAAGCTCAGCATGGACCGTGGGTTTTTCTGCTCTGGTTGTATTCCCCACCGCCATCAGTGTGCATTATTACAAAGATGGCAGCATGGGCCAGCAGCTCTCTCCTTCTGCTGTTTCTCATAGGAAAATGCAGAACAGCCTAGCGGGCAATAGCATAAAAGAGGACTTCAGGTTCTTGATAGGAGAACTGCCATTCCACTCTATAGGTTCTTTTAGTCAATGAATGTGTACCTACTTTGTGCCAGTCACTGTGCTTAGCAGTGGGGGTGCCGCAATGAATAATGCACAGTCCTTGTCCTCAGTAAGCTCACATTCTATATAGTAGGGGAAGGAAAACATTCATATACATAACTACATTGCACCACCATAGGTTTTACTAGATATATGAGGAGCAATTTGATATCATGGAAAGAACACGGACTTTGCAATCAGAGAGACTAGGGTTCAAATCCTCCTTTTGCAAAGTGTCCCACTCTGCCACTTTCTGAAAGCTACTTCATCAAAGACTTGTGATTTCCTTAGAGCCAAGAAACGCTGCCCTGTGGGGTGCTGAGAGATTCGTGGCGGCAGGGAGGATGTGGCTGTTGAAAACGTGGCGGCAGGGAGGATGTGGCTGTTGAAAACATCCTTCTTTCCTGAGCTCTTACCAGTTCCTCCTTTGAGGAGGTGTGGTGGGAGAATCCAGTGACAAAGGTTAGAAAAGGCAGATGTTAAGTACCTAGTACAGCAGCTAGCCTATCATAGGCATTTGAGAAATGGTAGTTAATCATTGTTGACAACTGTTAGAAAACTCCATTTCTTCATGTCCCTGGACTCCACGAACTCCAATATCTCCTCACGGGAGCCACCTTACAGCATCCCAGGAGAGCAATTTCTGAAATGCAAAACCAATCTGTTGAAGCTCTGCTTTAAACAAACAAAAAACAAGCTTAGCAATCCTATATTCTCGGGATAGTCTGGGCACTGGATGTCCCCTGCCTTCCTCTGCAGCTCACTGGCCAGCACTCCCCACCTCCACATTACTCTGCTCCCTGCAGAGCAAGTGCCCTGCCATGCCTTACCTCCGACTGCCTCCTCATTTGGGACATTCTGTCCCCATAGTTGTCTTTCTAGTCTAACTGTGTCGGCTGGTTCAAACCCCTGCTTGTTCAAAGACTGTCATGTGCCACTCAGCTACTCATGGAGTCCCCCTAACTGCTCTCTCCACTTTCCTATTTGCCCATCTCCAATCCATTCTCCAAAATGCAGCCCGGCTAGTTTTCACACATGAATCCCGTCATGGCACCCTCCTTCTTAAAACCTCCAGAGGCTGCCCTCCCATCGCACTTGAATACAATCCAAGTCTGCCTGCCTCACTAGAGAGTTGGATTATGTAAAATGTGGCTGGTGTGGGTGTGAAAGCACCTAACAGTCAATCCTCATAGCCTTCATTCATTTGTATTTGCTCATCCAAGCATTTATTAAACTCCTACCGTGTGCCAAAAACTATATTAAGCTGCTAAGGTTACGAAGGAGAGCAAAAACAAACATGTTGTTATGCTCACATAGCTTCCAGTCTCTTCAGGGATATAAGCATTCAAATAACCAAACACATGCAAGCACACACCTATGGCTGGTGCTGCGGAGACTGCACTGTGAGCACCTGCAGCCACGGAGGGAGGCAGCGGCCCGGTGCACGGACCCTGCCGCCCACGGCCTGGGCCTGACTTCTAACACTATCACTTTCTAGTGGATGACCTTGGACAAGTCGATGTACTTATTTCCTTATGTTTCTGTGTACTTATCTGTAAGAGAAGGGTAACAGTAGTGTCCACCACATAGAAAGTTTACATTGAAGATTAAATGAGTTACTTAATATAGAGAGGGCTGGTTCCTGATAACTACTCTGTGTTTGCGGTTTCATTATTATTATTATTATACTTTGTTTAACTGGGGAGGTCAAAGAAGCGTTCTTAAAAAGTAACATCTGGGGCTGGCCAAAGAAGTGTTCTTAAAAAGTAACATCTGGGGCTGGCCGAGTGGCACGATGGTTAAGAACTGGCTTGGGACGCCAGAGGGCCCCGGTTCGGATCCCACATATGAGAGCCAGTGACACTGCCCTCCACAGCTAAGATGCTGAACAACAGCTCAACCTGGAGCTGGGCTGCCGTGAGTCACCGGCGACGGCGTAGGCTGCAGCCCCTGTGGCAGTGGGTTGCCATGGGCTACCGTGTGTAGCCAGCAGCCAGCGTGAGCGGCCGGCAGCCACAGTGAGCTGCCGTCCAGAGGCCGGCAACTGATCTTCCTCACCCGGGAAGAGCGCAATGATGGTGCCAACTTGGGCCAGTGAAGCCACGTCCTCCACAACTAGACTGAAGAACAAAACGACAGCAACTTGTCTGTTCCCCTTCCCCCGATTCCCCAGCACTGTTCCCATCCCCCCAATTCCCCAATAAAAATTAAAAAATTTAAAAAAATATTTTAAAAAAAGTAACATCTGAGCTGAGATATCCAAAGATTAGCAGTATTAAGTAGGTAAAATGAGGAAGGGAAGAGCGTAGGCCAAGCGTCCACAGGTAGGAAAGACAGTGGCAGATCCCAGGAACTGAAAGCAGGCCGCAAGGGCCACAGTTGAAAATGCAGGTCAGGCCAGGCAGGACATTGTAAGTAACATCGGGGGCCCATCTTCATCCTACAGGCATTGGGAGCCATTGGGCTTTTGAGCAGGAAGAACATCACTCGAAGTTCAGAGTAGAGCAGAGACGAGTGAGGGGACAGGGGACAAGAATGGAAGTTGGAAGCTGGAAGTTGACTGTAGAAATCCAGTAGAAATGAGGATCGCATGGACAAGAGGGATAGTGACACACATAATGAGTCATGGGACAGGTCTGAAGGATGCTTTTGAAGATAAAACTGACAAAACGTGGTGATAAGGAAACAGGCAGAGAACCAGAGAACAGTAAGATGTCGAGCATGGCTCTTAGGTATCTGGATCATTGGATGGATGGTGGAGCCATGCACTGAGATAGAGAACCATAACGCAGGTCCTTGAGGGGCACTTGTTATGAAACAGAAGGAAAGGGTGTCATCTAAATAAAGGTCTGTGAGTGATCGGAGGGCAGGGAACCCAGGTGCTCTTCCATTGGAGAAGTCACTTGACCTGTATTATCTAATATCCTGTGAATCGTTCTGCAGGTTGGGAGCACAGCTGGTCATCCGAAGGTCATTTATACTGGGCTATAAAAAGCAATGATGTGAGAACTGCATACAACCTGTTAACCTGTTCTTTCTAGCCCAGACAATGCTCCCCACCTCGGGCCCCTCTCAGCAGCCTGAACCCAGCAAGGGGAGAGAGGATAAGGTTCTCACTAGATGGTCCACTGAGGCAAAGAGTTGACTGTGTCTTCAAAAGGCATAAGGAAAAACCACGTTCTCTGTGGTGCACAAAGAATCCAGGTGCATTGTCATAGAAACAGTCAATGGATTCTGACATCATTATTATTTCTAGCTAGCCTGCACCAAGCACTTACAGTGTGCCAGGCACTTCATCTACATTGTCTGTCATCTTCACACAGAGCCAACAGACAGGAAGAAAGATTCAGAGACTAACTTACCTGCAGTTACACAGTCATTGAGTTATAATAGAGCAGGGATTTGGACCTAAGTCTGCATGATGCTAAGGCCAATCTTCTTTTAACCCCAGTGAATTTCTTTGACTGAGCAACACTTCAGCATTGACCCTCAGATGCAAAACAGGCATTTCCAGGTGTTTAAACACATTTAAGGTGAAGACCTTGGCTGCACAATAGAACAAAACTAATTGGCCTCTGCAGAGATCAAAACAACAGCCTTGTCCTTATTTGATTCTTCTGCCACAGGAGCGTTTCAGGCAGACAAATACTTGCCATCAAATGGCTATCAAGCATTTTATTTCTCTTCACATCCTGTAGGTTGCTCATGTATTAAAAGAGCCCAGCCATTCAAAACAAGCCATTGGACAGAAGACCAGCGATGCTTCTATAACTTATCAAATGGAAAAGCTTTTATGGAATTTGCCAAGGACTTGAAAGGTGGAAGGCAGGGTGCTGGGAACCTACCTGAATTCAGAGATGTGCAGAACCAGCTCCCAGGTCCTGGTCCTTTTAGTAATGGGAGCCCTCTGTCGGCCGTGCCACGTGCTCACACTGCCACCTGCTGGCCATAGCATGCATCTCCGCTTCCCCTAACAGTCCACCTGGAGACCAGAAAAGCCAGCCTGTCAAACAGATTGCTCACACAGTAACACCACCAAAGAAAGGCAGGTAGAATCCATGCATGTGCTGGTGACGGTGGAGAGGAGCCAAGTACACAGGGGCTGTGTGGGCTTGTGACAGTCGCTGGGAGAACCTGCCGCACTGGTGAACCCAGCCGTCTAATTTTCAGACCCTCAAGGCTTTTTGGCCACAACTCCTAACAACAAAAATCTCCCCAAATGCCTTTTAAATACAGTGAGGTACCTTCCTCTCCATATGTTTTCCGATAAGTACAGCTTGTGTATCTAAGGGCAGGGTGGGCAGGCTTCCAGCTTGAGAACATAGTGCTATTGTTTTACGACACCACAGGCAGCAGTCTTTCTTTTTAAAAGAATTTCAATCTTCCTATTCATTCACTTACAGCATGAAAATAAATCACTGTGCTTGAGCCTGTTACAAATTAAAGGCTTAGCTGGAACGTGCTGATCAAAAACTGATCCTCAAATACCTACTGCCATCAGCTATTATATTTTTTTTAAGTTTTCTTTTCCATTTTGCTTTTAATTACCTCATGTGGTATTATGTAGATGCAGCAGACAGAAATGCATCTTTCTTATTCTGAACTAGATAGCATGCTACACCCCATTCCTTTTGGGTACATTTGGAATAGCAAGATGGGTTCTAGCATATTGGAGGTAAAAACTCAGGGACCTGCCTGGTGACCTTTCCCTCATATGTTTAGGGTTCAATAATTCACTTATAAATAAATTTGAATCATTCCCTAAATCCACTTTCTAAAGGAAGACGCTAAAAGATTCTCTCTTGCCCAGATGTCCAGAACTTCTTGGTAATAGAAGAGGATCTGGAATTTTTTGGCCTCCACCCGTTTTTCAGATTTTCTACATCGTTCACTAAACCCCGCTACTATCATCTGATTTCACATTCGCAATTGAAACACATAGTGCTCGTCTCTTCCCAGGTGATGTCAATTTATTCCCATCATTTCAAGCACATGTGAGCGTGAGTGACTCCCAAGCTGTCTTCAGTTTTGAACACTCACCCGAGGTCTAGAGCCATCTATCTAAATACCCACTAAATATTTCATCCTGGGTGTCCCACAGTAACCTTAAGCTCATTGTGTCTGAACACCAGTCTTGCTCACCCTGGCGCCGTTTCCCAATTCTGCTCTTCCCTCATGTCATGATTCCAGTTAATTGCAAAACTATCCATTCAATTATGTAAACCCAAACCCCAAATGTCACCTGGTATCCCCACCCTTTATGTATGATTGATCACAACATCCAATAATGTTTACTACCTAATAGAACTATTTATCCTCTTCTCTCTAGCCATACTGACACTGCCTTTTCACTAGGACTATGGAAAGGGTCTTGCAACTATCTACCTTTCCCAATGCTTAACTCTGTCCTTTTTATCCTTCACATCACATTCAAAAATGCAAAATTGATCACATCCTTGATACCACAATCACAATACATAAAAGAAAAAAATGATACCTTGGATTTCATCAAAATTTAAAACTTTTGCCCTAAAAATATTTTTTAAGAGGATGAAAAGGTAAACTCTAAACTGGAAGAAAGTACTTGCAAATCATATATCTGACAAAGGACTTGTGTCTAGAATATATAAAGAATTCTCAAAAGTTAACATTAGAAAAACAAACAATCCAACTCAAAAATGGTCAAAATACATACACAGACATTGTACAGAATAGGACATGCAGATGACAAATAAGCACATGAAAAGATATTCAAAATCATTAGCCATTAGAAATAATGCAAATTAAGGCTACACTAAGATATAACTACACCTATAAGAATGGCTAAAATAAAAAATCAAATTCATGGGAGGATGTGGAGAAACTGAATCACTGGTGAAAATGTTAAAAGGTCGAGCCACTCTGGAAAATAGTTTGACATTTCCTTTTAAAACTAAAAATGGATTTCAGGCCGGCTGAGTGGCTCAGTTCGTTAAGAGCGCAAGCTCTGAGCAACATGGTTGCCGGTTCAATTCCCACATGGGCCGGTGAGCTGCACCCAAGCTGAGCTGCTGCTGAGCTGCCAACAGGTGGCAGGATGGCTCAGCTGGTGAGAGCACGTGCTCCTAACAACAAAGTTCCTGGTTCGACTCCTGTATGGGAAGGTGGGCTACGCCCACCCACAACTAAGAATGAACACGGCACCTTGAGCTGAGTGACCATGAGCTGCTCATGGGTGGCCAGATGGCGACTGCCCTTGGAGCTGAGCTAGCTGCGCCCTCCACAACTAAGATTGAAGGACACAACTTGGCTGTTCCCCTTCCCCAATTCCCCAACACTGTTCCCCTCCCCCCAATTTCCCAATAAAATCTTTAAAAAAAAAATTTTTTTTAAACCTAAAAACTAAAAATGGATTTCTACCATACTATCTAACAATTACACTCTTGTATATATATATATATATATATATATATATATATATATATATATATATTCCAGAGAAATAAAAACTTATTTTCACACAGAAATCTATACACGAATGTCATAGCAGCCTCATTTGCAATAGCTGAAAGCTACCCAAATGCCCTTCAATAAGTGAAAGGTTGAACAAACTGTAGCACAGAGATCCCATGGAATACTACTCAGCAATAAAAAAGAATGAACTACTGATACAAGCAACAACTTGGATGAACCTCAAGGAAATCATGTTGAGTGAAAATCCAATGTCAAAGGATGTATGTTGCATGATTCCATGCATGTGACATTTATGAAATGACATAACTATAGAGATGAAAACAGATTAGTGGTTGCCAGGGGTTAGGAATGGGTGGAGGAAGAGATGGATGAGGCTATAAAAAGGCTAACATGAGAAAGTCTTGCACTAGTGACACAGTTAAGAATCTTGACTGTAATGGTGGTTGAACAGTGCTACACATGTAATAAGATTGCATAGCACTACATGTGCACACATGAATGAGATTAATGAGTGCATACGCTAACTGATGAAACCCAAATAAGCAGATGATACCAATGTCAACTTCCTGGTTTCCATGTTACACTATAGTTATGCCAGATGTTCACACTGAGAGACTGGGTAAAAGGTGCATGGGACCTCTCTGTGTGTTTCTTTGCATCTTTCTGTGTATCTATAATTATTTCAAAATAAAGCTTTAAATAACTGATCATGTCACACTCCCTTGCTGAAGTTATTTGTAGCTCTCATTATTCATAGAATGAAACACATTCACATATACATAATACATAAGATCCTCCATTCTAACTTCATTTCCTATTAAACATTCTGGTTAATTGTAACTTTACTATCTTTCATCTACTTATTGGATGTGCTAAAATGCCCACCATTTTTTAGACAATTTTTGCCTTTACTTCTGAGATTACAAAAAAATGTATTTGTGTACCCTGACATTTCTTGAATTTGCTAGAGTTGGGCATTCTAAACATATTTCATGGCCATTTAGTAAATTTTTGCATGCCTAAGCCAAATTAATCTATCAAAGAACTACCTACCTATTCTGGATACTAGAGGCTTTATGCAATTTCTCTAAAGAGAAAGATGAGGGATAGTGATAAGAGCAATAGAGAAGTGATGAAAGGAGTCCACAGACCTAGAAAACATTCATGAATGATTCTGCTCATTTTACAAATACAGTGTATTAGTTTCCTAGGGTTGCAGTAACAAAGTACCACAAACTGGGCAGCTTTAACAACAGAAATGTATTGTCTCACAGTTCTGGAGACTAAAAGTCCGAAATCAAAGTGTCGGCAGGGTTAATTCCTTTTGAGGGTTATGAGGAAGAATCTATTTCATGCCCCTTCACTAGCTTCTGGGGGTTTGCTGGCAATCTCCGGCATTCCTTGGCTTGGAGAAGCATCACCCCAGCCTTTGCTTCCTCTTTACCTGAAATTCCTCCTGTGTGCATGTCTCTGTGTCCAAATTCCCCTTTTATAAGGACACCATTCATATTGGATTAGGGGCCCACCCAACTCCAGTATGATCTCATCTTAAATAATTACATCAGCAACAAACTTATTTCCAAATGAGGTCACATTCTGAAGTACCAGGAGTTAGGATGTCAACATATGCATTTGGGAAGAACACAATTCAACACATGACACCCACAAAACACTAGAAACCAAGAAAAACTCGGTTCCTTCTTCCGTTTGGCAGCTCAGCGGCTGCTCAGCTCGGGCCGGGACTCGAACCGCTGTTGCTCAGAGATCAAACTCTTGAGCGAGCTCTTACCCAACTGAGCCACTCGGCCGGCCTCCTTCTTCTGTTTGAGTGAATAGATAGTCTACATATCAGTAATGTGCCTGGTACCAGAGGATACACGGAATTTCATGTGAAAACTCACTGGGGCTTTCTATGAAGATTCTAATGCTTATCACGTAAGAAGACATTTAACAAGCACGTAAGTGTGCTTGACACTTTTATTAGCAAATATGTGACGGCTTGCCAAATATACAGGCTGGATCATTCTACAATCAAACTGCTAATTATATGGTAATTATATTCCAGTGTCTATAGTTGACTCACCTTGTAGCTGGCTTGGAGTCATAAATTATCTATAAAATTTTTCAATATGAAAAAAATACGCACTTATTGAAAACAAACCATAGTTGGTGAATAACACATTTGACTTTCATAATAGCCGAATGACTTAATCCAGGCATTTTAACCAATTGTGACATGGCATAGTGAGAATAAAGTAGATTTGGCCATTCTTAACACTGCCTAAGAACTGTATAGTGGCTTTTGGCGATGGGGAGGAAAAATAAAAGACTCTCCCCAAGGAAATTCTCTGCATAATCCTCTTTCATCTCCAACAACCCAATCCTTTCATAAACGTTCAGTGTGGATGAATTAATCTAACCAGTTCCTGGGAACCAAATTTGAAATTGTTGTCTGGTATCTTCTGAATCCTGGCACTTCAATCTAAACTTCTGATATGACATCCTGTATGTATGTATGTCTATTTTCTGCTGTATTTGATATATAATTATCTGTTTTTTTATAAACATCCATCACCTACCTACTCCAGGAGCTTAAATCTGTATCAAGACATCACATGAGACATACTTTCAAGGCAAAATTAGCATATGGGGAGGTTTTTGTGGGAAAATGTCATGTGAGACAGGGCTTAGCTGATATACAGGAAGAAGGCTGGCAGAGATGACAGGAAGTGGCATTCCAAAGAAAGAGGATCATGTGAGTGAAGTCAGTGTGCCACAAATGGCACAGCCCAGCCATGGAATCCAGAGCCCACTGAGAGCGCCTTGAGAACAGAAGGAAGCAAACAAGCCCAAGTGGAACAGAGATTTAAAAACCAATCAGAAAAGAAGGGATGGCTGAGGAAAGGGCTCGAATCCAAATCCTAAATCTTCAGAGCTGGCACCAAATCTAGGCTGGCACCAAAACCCAAGAGATCCAATCTGAAGGAAGTGACTTAGATTCTGGCATTAGGTGGATATCCAAGTCAGAGAGCAGGATGCTCTGTGTGTGAAAAAGGTACTGAGTGGGAACAGTTTGTGTCTTAGTGACGGAGACTCTACACATTCCAGATTATGTGGGACCAGAAGTATCACTCCTCTGAGTTGGGGTTGGAGGGGTAGACCAAAGTTGCTCAAGCTGCCTGAGATGAAACCAAGAGGAACCTTGGGAAAGGATATGACAATACCAGTATGTCCAAGTATTTGTCTAAGTACATATGGAAAGCCAGTAGCCACCATCATCATTATCACTATCATCACTATGATTATCATCATCATCACCGTTGTCATTGTTACTGATACTTAGAGACCATCTACCATTTATCAGGCACTGTCTTAAGCACTTTACATAACATTAATTTATTTAAATCTCACAACAACCCTATTAATATCTCTTCTACAGATGAGGAATCTGAGACAAAGAAAGTAAAACAACTTCCCCAAGATCACCACCTGAAAAGTAGCAGAGCCGGGATTCAATTCTGGACAGTTTGTCTCCACAGTCTACATGAAACCAATATACCCTGCCTTGCTCTCCTCATGGACCAACCGAACTTCACTGTTGCAACCTCCGTCTACCTTTCTGCCCATAATCCATGAATTCCTGCCTCCTCCCACTGCCACTTATGCTAACAAATAATACTCTGCACTTGGTAACAAGGCCAGACAATTTCCTTGCATCCTAGAAGAGGAACAGGGCAAGGCTGTGAAAGGGACTGTGGGCTGGAATGAGCATCCAACTGGGTGACTAACACAAACCCATTTCTCCTTCCTCTTTGCTATAAATGCTGCAAAACTGTAATGACAGAGGTATAAAGGTCTGCAAGCAAGTGGATTAATGCTTTACCTTTGTATTCAAACACAGCATACTTTCTCCAAGACTGTCAAATAACTGTCCTCTTTGCGGGATGTATTATTAGAGTGGTTTAAATTAGACTGGGTGGTTTAAATGACAGAAATTTATTTCTCACAGTTTTGGAGGCTGGAAGTCCAAAATAAAAATGTTGGCGGGCTTAGTTTCTCCTGAGGCCTCTTTCCTTGGCTTGCAGATGGCCACCTTCTTACAGTGTCCTCACACGGCCTTTCCTCTGTGCGTGCATGAATCTGGTGTCTCTTTCCTTTTTAATAAGGATGCCAGTTCTATCAGATTAGGGCCCCACCCTCACTGATCATTGAGTCTGAATTGCCTCTTTAAAGGGTCTATCTCCAAATACAATCACATTGGGGTTAGGGCTTCAACATATGAATTGGGGAAGGGGGAGAGGGAGACACAGTTCAGTCTATAACCCTGGAGTTAAGTCAGAGCTTATAAATCCAAGGCTGCCTTTCAGGCATGGTTGAAGGCTCTTCTAGTTGAAGAGTCTTAAGTAGGTCTGCTTTGCACTGAGGAACTCAGAAATTAAGACAGTTACACAGTCTTTAAAGCAACATAGATCCAGTCCACAAGGGAAGCCTGGGGTCTTCTGTCACAAATCCAAATATAAGAGCACTCTAGTACTTTCTACACACACACACACACACACACACACACACACACACTGGGGGTGCCAGAAAATGTATACACATGACTTATATTAATTTTTTGTTATTGGTATATATTATTACAATTTTAATACAGGTTTTTCCTTTCATAAAATGTGTATACTTTTTCTGGCATCCTGTGTGTGTGTGTGTGTGTGTGTGTGTGTGTGTGTGCATGGAACACACTAGTTTTAATTCTTTTATTTTCATTTAATACACACTGACTGGTTTATTTCATAACATGGTACATGGTTCCCTACCTTCATAAAGTTTCCAGTAGTTCATTGGGGAACACAGCCACCTTCTTCAGCATACCTCCTTTGCAACCAGCAGAGGAATAAAGTGCACAACATCGAGCCCTAATACTAACCAATACAAAAAAATGTATATTATATGCAAACACAAAGGACATTTTTTTCTTCATACAATAAAAGTCAACTTTTCTCATTGATGGGCTTCCATTTTTACAAGCCGAGAGCAAGAACGCAGCAATTTTTAAATACCACTTAATCGATTCATGGATTCCATGACTTTCCTACGTTGCTTATTCCTGCAAGGTGTCTTCAAACCCAGCTGTAAGGCACAGTGAATGGACACACAGAGGAGAGTCCAAAGCGCACAGGAGGTGCTTTAAAAGCCAAGCTTGCAGTGCAAATAGGCCTCTTATCTGTGAGGAATATGGAACTCTGCCTCAGTTTTCATTCGTCCTCAGATCAGTCACTGAGCCCCTGAAGGTCATTGAAGATAAGTGGTACCAGCATTGTTTCCCTTGGAGTAGGAAACTGAAACAAGCAAACCGTCTAAGATTCAAGAGTACATATAAAGCACAAAAGCCCCTGAAGGCTAACAGCAAATATGTTAACCATGGGAAAATTTTTGGTAATAAATTATACGTGCTGTCAAATGGGAAAGCGAAAGGGTAATATAAATTTAAGGTTGAGAAAGAAAACAGAATTGTCAGGGAATTCCCAAATTTATGGTCCATATTAATCTGGCTATTGACTAACCTACATGAACTGTTTAGCAATATAGGTCACTTTATAAACATAAATCATTCTCACAAATTGAATTTTTCTGAGCTGGTTTGCTTTTAAGAGATCTGTTCAATGCTCACCTCTCCCCACTCCAAACCATTCAACACACACACTGATGCCAGAATAGTCTTCGAAAACATGTGCCCAATCCCATTACTTCAGAGCTGTCTCTAACACATATAGCATCTTTGAGAAAATTACAAAAATGGCACCCCCCTCAAGTTAAAATAAAAAATATATGTGTCTATATAAATCTGTGTACAAATGCACAGCCTGAGCACTAGCCATAACCATACTCTCACCTGCTCACATGTCCCCAAAATGCCAAGAAGCAAATGCCACCAGCCGTACACACAGTAGACGCCCATGTGCATGCCCACACACACAAACACACACGTTCCAACCCCATAGTGAGATGCTCTGGCAGGTTCTGAGCTTGGTAGGGTTTGAAATCAGGCCACCAGATCAGCAGATGAGAGGAACACCACATGCTGTCACACTGGGTACAATGTATGCCAGCGGGTATGTGAGGGCTTCTGTTGGAAGAGACTCCTGTAGCCTCAGGCCCTCAGCTGAGAGCCCTGAGTCTCCACCCCTACCCAACTGCTCCCGAATCGGTTACTACAGTGGTTCTCAAAGTGGGGTAGGAGGTCTTGGAGATCCCCATGGTGTTGTGGGGAACCCAAACAAAGAGACAGGACACCAAGGCGTGGGAAGCAACCTTTACTAATGCCGGCACTGGCTCAGCGGATTCACATCCAGAGGCTGAGCCCTGATTCAGACGGGAATCAGGTTATATACCCTGAAGTTTTTAGGTTGGCAGCTAAGATTTATTATTAGAACATGTGACCATTGTGCCAGCTCCTGACTGGCTCCTGGGTGAGGTAGGAATTTGGAAATATTAAACACGGAGGTCTTGCTGACCACATAGTTCAGGAATGTCTGTCTGAAGCCTGCACAAAATCCTTAGTGACCACATACTCTGGGAAAGCCTTTGTCTAGGGCCCACTGCCACAATGGTGCTTTCAAGGGGCCACAAGGCCAAAAATGTTTTCATAATAATATTAAGACATTTTTTTTCATGCTCCGTCTTTCATGTGTACAATGGAGATTTCCAGGGGCTACATGACATGTGATGACCTCATCACTCCGAGGGCTAATTGAATGTGTACTCCTGTCTTATAAAATTCACAGTTAATACGTTAAATATCGAAAGATAAGATCCACACATAAACAAACGTTCTTTGGAATCATTTTAAGAGTGGAAAGGGATGTTGAGACCAAAAAGGTTGTGAACCACTGAGTTAGTATGTCCAGTGTGACTGGCACCCCCTAAGAAGTAGCAGTCGGGTGTGGTGGTCATGATTACTGCCCTGCTCAAAGCTTGCACTGGTGCAGAACTAGGGAGGCAGCAACATGTGCACCCTGGTTTTGGAGACAGATCTATGTTTAAACCCTAGTTTGACCATTTATTGGTTTATATGACTTAGGCAAGTTACTCACTCTTTCTGAATATGGGCTCCTGTAGGGACTTAGCGCACCATTTTCAATCCTCCCCTTTCTCCATTTATCACTCTGGGATTCTCAACCAAAAGAAACACACACATATTCCCAAGAGCCAAAAGCCAAATTAAAAACAAACACCTATTTCATCACTAATTTGGGCAAGTGCCCCAAACCCCAACTCCACTAAAAGGCGGACTGAAGAACAAGGCTTCCTCCTCCATGTTCTCTGGATTCTAGAATGACCAGCAGTCTGAGCAGATGCCTAGTTGACTTCCCAAGCTACCTGGACAGCATACCAGGCCTGCCTGACCCACAGGAGCACCGGAGGGAAGCCCACGGATGCCGACCGCAGGGAGGGAAGGTGCAGAGATGAGCAGAAAACATTTCATAGTCCTATAAGTCTGTGCCCTGGGGAAGTGTGACTCAGGGAATGTTCCAGACCTGGACTAGTGAGATTAACCATTTTCCCTTAAACAGGAAGTAGTCATAGGTTAAAAGTAAAAATATTAAGATAGCAATGGAAGAATCTCCTGCTCTCACTGGAGATGATAATACCTCATGTCCTGGCATGTATTATCAGTCACTCGAGAAGTGGTAATTATAATAGTAGCATATGCTGGCATCCATAGGAAGAGTCTGAAAAATAAGAGACCTAAAACTTTTATATCATCTGTTTTCCACCCTTATTTATTGGGAGCATAGGGAACATGGGAAGCTATAAAGCCCCACATTCCCCCAAAGCAGGCATCCGTCCCTTTGCTGCGGTCCTCCAGCCTCCGATTGTGCATCTGCATCTGAAGCCCTGGGTGCTCAGCATTCTTTATCTTTCCTATCAAAGTCTTCCCATTCAGTTGAATGACAGCTCTTTTTTCTTGAAACTTCTGCGGCAAGGTCCAACACAGTGGTCAATGTCACAATATACACAGAAAAGCATGACTTCCAAAATTATCTGCTGAAAACAACGAAAACAGTGACTGCAATCTCCTGTGATTAGCATGGCCTTAGGGTGCGCAGTAACTAAAGAGCCAGGAAAAGATGTGAGACATTTGGAATTCATGTAAATACCTACGAGTCCTGGCCCTGCCAGTGAAGAGAGATGAGGAAAAGAATTAAGGATGGACTCAAACTTCACAATGGTTACTTCACTCCCATTTAATGATAAACTGGGTAGGAGTTACAGAATTTCATCTATCTACCCAGGTCAAACTATGAAGATGAAATATGTCACATAAAAATTAAGAAGGTCTTAAAATGGACTCCAGGGACTTAGGCTACAAAACAAGTGGAATTTATAGGTCAGGGTTTTGGGCAAGTCTCAAAGTGGCCATAAGAAAAACTTCCCTGAATGTCTGCAGCCCCAGCTCTTGCCCATGCCCCAAATCTCTAGTCAATTAGCCTTCTCACCCAGTGGAGAAGTAACCCCAATCTGCTCAAGATGACGACCCTATTCTCAGTGGGTAAGGGTTTTTTAATGTCCAGAAAATTGAGAGCTAGAGATGATAAAGTAAATAAATCCATGGTATCAATATTTTCAAATTGCTTAGAAAATCTGGTACATCAAAGCATCCAACCAATTAAAATATATAACTAAATAAAATTAACTGAATAATTGATTTTGAGACTTATAGTTGAAGTTGAAAAATATAAATGGATTTGTCTATGTTTGTAAATACTATTAGAATATATAAAAGAACTTGAAATGTGTAATAGTTATGAATTTTATCTATTAAATTAACAAGAGCATTTCAAGTACTTAGAAGTGATTTACATGTTGCAGGCATTTGGTGATTAAGAAAAGGAAAGCCATTAAAGTTTAAAATATTTAAGGGGCTATGATTAATCAAGTTAATTAATAAACTTGTAAAATAATTGGTAACATTTACTAGATTTATAAATAGAATAATAGTAATTAGGAGTTGAATGTAAGAGTTCAATTAAAAATACTTTTTAGTTCATAATATTAATACATCAAATTCTAATTTTAAAAACAAAAGTAACTGCAAATACTCTTTTCTGTAAATGACATCAGTCCCAGTACCACTAAAATGCACATGACACTTCTGATTCTGTGTTTCCTTTAATTTTGGGCTCTTGGCATTTGGTCTTTTACAGAACATAACTCTGATTCATAAAGAGCCAGCTTTCCAGGAGGAAGAATCATTTACATGTCAAATGTGAATCTACTTCCTGACTATATTTAATCTCCAGGAATGGCCTCATAAAATAATAAAAGTCTCAGTTCAAATTAGTACCTGATGCTTCATTCCATTATCAAAAACCATTGCTATATAATTTATTGGCTTAAAAAAAAGTGCATACATTTTTTTGCACCCTCTGTATAAGCAACTTTATTTTATTTTTTTTTTAGATTTTTATTGGGGAATTGGGGGGATGGGAACAGTGCTGGGGAATTGGGGGAAGGGGAACAGACAAGTTGCTGTCCTTTTGTTCTTCAGTCTAGTTGTGGAGGACGCTGCTTCACTGGCCCAAGTTGGCACCATCATCGCACTCTTCCTGGGCGAGGCAGATCAGTCGCCGGCTTCTGGATGGCCGCTCACGGAGGCTGCTGGCCACTCACGCTGGTTGCTGGCTACACACGGTAGCCCATGGCAACCCACTGCAGCAGGGGCTGCAGCCTACACCGTCACCAGCAACTCACGGCAGCCCAGTTCCAGGTTGAGCTGTTGTTCAGCATCTTAGCTGTGGAGGGCAGTGTCACTGGCCCTCATATGTGGGATCCGAACCGGGGCTCTCTGGCGTCCCACCAGCTCTTAATCATCGCGCCACTCGCCCAGCCCAGCAAGTTTATCTTTCATA